CACAATTGCTCGTAAACACTCTAGAAGGCAAAATTCTTCACTGAATTTGAACTTGGTATGGTTGTTTGCTATCACCCAAAGATGGACCCTATAGAAAATAAAAAAAACAAAAATAATTAGTATTAGTTATTGCCCTTGTTCTTGAAAACGCGTTCAATTTGAGCTTATAAACACTTGGTGTAAATGTATGTTATCACCCAAGGATGAACTCTATCGAAAATCAGAAAAATCGAAAATGTTTAGTTTGAGTTGTTGCCCTTAATCTTGAAAACGCATTCAATTTTTAGCTCGTAAACACTCCACAATTCTTGGTGGATTTTGACGAAACTTGGTGTTTGTTATCAACCAAGGATGAACCCTATCGAAAATTATTTACTACCAAATATTATTATTAATCAAAGCTACCAGTTGGCGTATATTACCTTGACTGGCAAGCTATCTTTAACACTGTACACCCATGTCATTTTCATATGTAATTATATAATTCGAAGAGGTTCATGTTGATATTTGAGCAGTATTTAAAAAAATATGGGAACTTTTCGTATGTCCATGCCTGAAAATGTACCACGAATTTTTCAACTGATTTCCTGAAACGTGTGCTTGTTCCACTAAACGTTTGTCCAAGTGGAAGTAGTCAATATTCTTTGAAATAGATGGGCCACAGATTTCTTACATTTGTGGAATCAAACTCTCTAACTTTTAAACACAAAAGTAAAAAATACTCTACTTTCTCACATGTTTTGGTCAAAATTGCCTTTTCATATCATGTACTGACAATGTCTGAACTATCTACATTCAAAGTTGTCGCTCATACATCAAAAAATACAGTTTTCAGACACAATCTGAATCAGATCAGTATCTTTATTGATAAGGAAATTGCTTTAGGAATCGTATGTTTTCGCAATTACAAAATGTGGGATATGAGAATATATGTAGCCTATTAACATTTACTTAAGGACAGTTAGTCTTTTAACTGGGCTCTAAAAAAGAAGATATTTATATTTTCAGACCCAGATTATGTTAAAACCATCATATCGTCTGCACATTAAAGACAAGTTATGGTTCAATTCAGACAATTTTTTTTGATCGCCCAGTAATTAAAAAAATATCGTCTTGAAAAGCCAAGACGTTGTCTTGTAACTAATGTAAGAATTATAACGAACTAGTATTTTCAGAATATCGCTCGATAAAATGTGTATTAAGGAGTAAGAATCACGTAATATTTCAATGCATAGTCTGACTACAATCGAATTGTTGTGTCCAGGGGTAAGGGAATTACAGTCTTAAGGCCGTCTGTAGCCAAGAAAGCTACAGTACAGTTCGAAACCTATAGCCTAGTACAAGTAAACTCTTTACAGGAGCCTTTGATTCTGGTTAAGTGGACAGGTTTGTGACTTTTTCCTTTAAAACCGCACGACTTGCGTAAATGTCAGGCTAACTGTCTCTTATATCAGGAATATATTGTCTGTGAAACATCCGTGATCCGAGTCAATGGTTTAAGCTGGTAAAGCAAGTTGAATTATGGTGAAAGGCCAGTCGTGTGTATATGACAATCTATATACATGTATAATACGGTATCGGCAATCTACTGTTCAGATATTGATGGATTTATAAAGTTCGTGTACATTATAACGACATGTCAATATTAAGTCAAGTATCATCATTTCATTTTATGGTTTCTTAGACATAATCAGTCTAACACTGTTTCAATGAGAACTAAGTTTTTGTATAGAGACAGAATGTAAAAATAAATGACCATATACAATACACCTTCGAGTAAAGAGATACAAGTAAAAGAATTCAGATAGTGTTTAAACTAGATACTGTAAAGATCCTTCGAAGAAAGACAAAGATAGGTACTTTAAAGATACATTGGTACTCTTTCTGACCACAGCATGAAAATGAAATGGCGTTTATGTCAAACTCCGGCTCCAGCTTGATATACTGAAGACTGCAAACGTTTTGCCGAGTACAAAGAGAAAAATTTCGAAGACAGCGGCAGAGCTGTTATCACGTTATATTGAAATCAAGCACAATATTCCCAAAATCGTGCTCTTTCCAGTGTTAACCAAGATCTCTGGTAGGGGTTACGAATCCTCATGCCAATTAACCACAATCTGTAATTGTTTTTTTGTATTTTCTCGTCAACTTAAAACAATTTCCTCCATCCATCAAAGCAACTTTATTATACCTGCTTCTCGAACGTTCTGTTATATATCAGTATTCCTCCTTTACTTGTTTATGGTGTTAACATGTCTCAGTTGATCAGCTGTGACCGAGCATGTTTTTTTTCTGTGGGGATTTATTTTTAGAAACAAACTTTGGACTTCTGTTTGGGACCATATAACAATGTCATTGAAAATTATAATAAATCTGTAAATTGCATCAATTTAGATACATACTACCTTGAACTACCTTACACATGTTACATAATATGTTGACAATTCAAATTAAGTTACTTCTATTAAACTGGAAAATAAACAAAATGATCATTCGGCAATCCTCGGCAGTTTCCGCAAAGCTGAATTTGTCACAGTAATGATTGGTGAAATTTGTTGTGTCTTTTTGAGCGAGACTCTTTATTTCCGGCATTTCACATACATTCGTCAAGTACTCGTAATATTATTACCTGAATATAATTCCTTATAGCCTTTAGGGGATAACGTGTGACTGTCAGTCTACCAATAATACAATCTATAATCATGTTGGATCCATATTGTACGAAGTTTTTGTTCACAAACACTTGTAGTCATGAACGACCAGCCTCTGACGTTTAAATTACCAGAATCACGTGACAATATTGACATAGTTCCGATAAAAAATCTCATTCAATACCATGATGTGTTGCAGGGCGATAGCGTAACTTTCATTGAAGCTGTTTGATAGTCCCTGTATATATTGTCAGCCCTTCTTTACTATGATGTTGCAGAGCGTAACTTTCACGATAGGCATACATTGGCATACATTTTTTTTATATAAATTATACCATAAACAGAATGAATATTTCATTCAAATAACATTTCGCAAAATTGGGTTATTGAAAGTATTCTTGTATCAAAATAGACAATCATTTCAAAAATTGGAATGTTCTATCAGATGTCGTGTTGATCTGAACTGGAGACACAAATAGAATTCACTCCGAAATGTCAATAGATGTAACACTCTGGTAGAGGTGGAAAAAATAACATACCGAAGACAAGCCTGTGAACCAATATAAATTCATATTCATACATCACTCACACCGGACCTCTATAATAATGGTTTTCCATTTCCAATTACGAATATCAATTATGAAGACAAACTCGGGAAGAGAGGAGTCGACATTGTGTCTGGTTTTTGAGGATACATTATAATACATGCTATAGATGTTAACATAATTTTGACAAAAAGCTATGATATTACAGCCAATTGAATTTTAGATTAGAAAAATATGTCAACCCAAGGCTAAAGAAAATGCCAGGCCTTATCGTGTTTTTGTTTTATCTTCTTTAATTTCTTTCTTTGATTCGTATGTCGTTCAACATGACCTTTCTATCATTTACTGAAATCTTTTGAATTTTCGTTTGCTCCAGCTCTATTGAATAAAATAAATTGACGATATTATGAATTCTCATTCTAATACTCTTTTAAACTTTTTCAAAGTTGTCATGGAGACCTTGAGAAATTTACCTCTAAGCAGATAGCTTTCGTTTCCACACATGTATGTGTTCATGTGTTGAAAAAAATTACACATTTTTAACTTTTCGCCACGAATGACCAAAATCTTACATAAATTTACCTACACACGGAAGCTATCGTCCTCAGAGAAAGTGCCTGGGCTGGTGGCTCGTGTGTGCACCGGACTTTAGAATATATCAAAAGGTGTATAACGTGTTATATATTATGTCATAAAGATGTAGAACTTGTTATAATATGCCATAGAGATGTAGAACTTGTTATTATATGTCATATGTATGTATATTTAGAGCGAATATCTCAAGATTTAGAATGCCATTAGTATGCCTTAAAATTATATCACAGATGTATAACTGGTAGGAATAGTCATAAAGATGTATAACCTTATGTTATGTAGATGTACTGCTTTCTAAAATGTGTGATATAGATGCTAGATTTGGTAAGGGTAAGAGTTTCAATCAAATTATTCAATATTCATTTCATCTTATTTGAGAGAATTAATACTTAATTCAATAAAGGATTTTGACGTAATGATATTTGATAATAAGTCAAGGGAAAATTTATTGATTCGGCTGCCTAAATAAGAAAGTCAGCCGTATTAATAATCGAAAGTTCATCGATATTTTTCTTAATTGTATTCTAGTGTTAAACTGGCGTTACTTATTTGTTGATTTAGTTATTGATGATCGAGGTTGGTTGACCAAATCATAGAAGTCGGCTCGTTCTTTGACTTTATCGGTTACTACACAGATAAGATTAGTAGAAACTATAAATTGGAACTTAAAAACTTTCACTGGAAACTATACAAGACACAGAGATCTTATACCTCTCAAAGAAGCGGAAATAATCACAGTTCATAACCTTAATGATGATTTTACCAGAAAACATCAGAAAGTAAAGATGCTGAGTTTAGTAATATCGTAGGTGGAGGTATGGTAATTTGTACCAGAAAATTTGTAGAAAATTCGGATTTCTCTTTGATGATAAAATAACACCTGTACAAAACGTTTAGATGGAAGGGGTATTTCAATGAGGTAATTTGTTTGGTTGTGAATGTTGTTTTAACCCCCCTTTTCTCTGTAGTAATCACCAGTCAATTAATTCTTCAAATTGAACCAGACATTCTCTGCCAGACTAGATCTCTATCACTACCATATTATAACAAACATTCTTGATATGTCTTCAGCTTACTGAGTAACATGTTTCTACATTTACTTCATTTCTACAATTATTACGATTGCTTTATATGAGAACTTCATTCGCCATACACTTTTAGTTCAATAGAACCATGGAATATGCCATAATAAATGGTTACTATATCAAAAATGACTACGGCGCCTTTATACATGGAAGTGATGCTCCAAAATTATGCTTTACAGCATGTTCAACATCGTATCACAAATACGGATTTTGACATGGTCTTATTAACCGAGGAAGTATGGCGGAAGGGGGTGTGTTTTGGACACGATGCATGTTCAAGTGAACGAACTAATTGGCGTATTGCTATATATATAGTTGTCGAACCTTACCAAAATCAACATGAATATTTACAACGTCATTTGTGAGTTAGACACTTGCTCGCTAACCTGAAGATCCAAGGTTCAATCCCGGCATAGGCCGAGATAATACCTTCGGATTTTTCAACCCGGTTTCCCCCTGTCAGTGATGCAGGTAAGAGGGGCTGACATGGAAAAAGCGTCTAGTCGTTCGGATGGGACAATAAACCGAGGCCCCGTGTGCTACAGGCTGTGCACGTTAAAGATCACTCGACAGTTGGAAATCGAAAAAGAGCAGGCTAATGCCGCTGTCCTGGCAAAATTTCCCTCATCGCACCCTGCATGGCGTTGCCCGTCTTCATTAGCCCACATGGTGCAGAAAAGTAGGACGTAAAACTCCATTCATTTCATTTCATTTTTACAACGTCATTTAAGAGAGATTATAGACATATCGACCTGATGAAGTATATTTGGTAACTAAGCTATAATACCTGTCAAGAAAAAAATAAATGTCGACCAAGGCCACACTAATCCTTGTTATGGTCGATTATTGAAATATAACTAGGTCAGTAGAGAATTCGAATATCTTCCAATCTCTCGTATGAATAAATAATAAGCAATAGGCTAATACCTTAATTAACCCATATCTTATCATTTACTGCTTAAATTACCATGATAAATTTTCTCCAGCATTTGAAAATATCAGCCTGTGATTGGTTCAATTAATGAGAACCACCCAATCATATATCATTAACCAAATTCCATAATTATAATATTTCATGTGAGAACCTTTACCGTACATGGGAGACTAATGAAGTAATTTAGAAGGCAAGTGAAGCCGTTGATAATCATCAAAAAGCTACCAGATATAATTAATCTTCAATGATTAAATATCACAGCAACCGTCTTTTATCTCTCATCGTAAAGAATCTGAGATTAGTGCTGAAATGAATTCTGAACTTTGATCAGAATTATGAGATTTCCTTGTAGGCCAGTTCATAAAAAATCCAAATTACTTCTATTACTCGTATAACGCCCTGATCCTATTCTCATCACAGATTCCTCTATTTGATATCCTTGGCAGTATCCTAGTCAGTCAATCACTCATCAGAGCAAAAAAATTTGATTATTGTTCAAATCTGAATTAATTACATGTAGGACCTACGTCAAATCGGAGGGTTAAATAAATTTAAATGACTCGAGAGAATAATTATAGATATTAGTATATTTCTTCGATATATTATACTTTTTTTGGATAAAAACTCGACAATTTAATTCACACTAGATTATTATGCAATTCCTGTTATGAACAGTGGAGCAGTCTGATTATTTAGTAGGTTGGGAAAGTAAGGTTTTCAAATATGTACCTAAATCTAGAAAAATCTGTTGCTTATCTTATCTGAATACTTTAATTAAAATCATCTTGCAGTTACTTTTAAAACATCAAAACTATTTCAAGGGACAAGTCCGCCATTTTGGAGGTTGATTTTAGTTTTGAATATATGTAAATAGAAATGTACGAAGATCAAATAATTTCTTTAGAAATACTTCAAACTAGGAATTTTATTGACTATTTCCATATATTTTATCACTGATTATCTTGACAAGTCGTCAGTTTTACATTCAATCGTGGATATTTCTGGATACATGGATTTGAAGGCTCAAATTACGACGGTGATCTGTTAACACTATTACTGATTGACTTAGGTAACAAAATTCCCGTTCTGAGACTAAAGTATGATTGGTCAAAAAATGGTACATCTTTCATTTTAAATCTTAACGTGAATTAGTTCAAAATCACAGTGTAACTGTCTGACATCTATAAAAGTTATAGCTACCAGTGGCTAAGATGAAAGTAACGTCAATGGCATCACCTTAAATTGCTTGCAGCAAATACAAAAGAACATATTAAAGATGATCTGTTAGAAAAGCCAAAGGTATAAATATAAGACGTGAATTAAAAGAGATCCGCAACCTAACCTAATTGTTTTTCTTATATTCTAACAGCGGGAATTTATAGATTAAATAAATGATGCAAACATTCACGTAGGTTTTTGAAGGACATGGACTAATTTGCGGGGATTTCTTAAAACATGTACAAGCTTTGTATGTCCATCGCCAATGACATTCTGTTCCAATATTCCAATACATACATGTTTTAAAAGCTGACTACCAATATCGCTTTGGAAAACATGACTTGACGATTTCATCTTTTATCTCTTCATTTAAATACTAGTAAAGGATATTTCAAGTAAGGTACGTATACATCCGTAAAGTCGCAGCAAAATGAGAATTTAGTTGCTTTCGTCGATTGTTTTCGCCCATTTTCACTTGAAGACGCCATTGCGTGTTTTAACAGGCTAATAATACACAAATGTTTACAGCTAATAAACTAAATTGATATCAAATAAATGGCTTGAAACATCAAGTAGCTTTAATCTTGGTTTAAACTCGGAGGTTTAAAGTTATCAACAAGCAATATTTATTTTGTAGTATTAAATATAAGAATTCTGACACATGCACTGAATGACAAGAAAACAAATCAGAGGCTACGTCAACAAAACAGGAATAGACGCACCAAATGTCACACCAAGAACGAATAAGGTTATACAATTTCTGTAAAAACAGAAAAGTTTTTAGATTCAGAAAGCGATATGCTCATATTTCATCCTTGCAGTCTAATTTGTCTGAATATTTCCCTCTTGTAATTTTAGTAATTTCTTTCTAGTCTCATAATAATTATGGAATAAAAAGCCATTTCCAAGATCAATATAATATGATAGAGATAGACATCCATCTGGCTCAAGTGCCCCATGAAAGAATTTAGTCATTTAACTGAGAAAATATTGGTCAGGTATTGTTGTGATTTGAAACAGACTGGCCAGTCATGTCTAATCAGTCAAACCATAGACACTGATTAAAACATGCTTATTGAATTGTTTACGGTATTTCCGAGTTTTTTTTTTATTATTGCAAGGCATATCGTAATCGATTTGTCACTCATTATTTTCGTAATGATTTTTTGGTCTATATGAAATGGTATGGCATTTCTGGTTTGGCCGAAAATCTCAAAGTTTGGTTCCCTTATTTTCATTTATTTATATATATATATTCTATTATTGGACAGTTAACACTTGTATAAATCGAAAGCTGGGGTGTTCTAATGATTGGGAAATATACCAGTCTCAGAAGTCAATAATTAACTCATAATTAACTAATTACGAGAGGATTTCAATGATCGAGCGGTCACTTAATAAAGATTATCAGGTCTCACAATTTCCATAAGGGTAGTAACTCTATCTGTGCCTTTTCACAGCCGAACATTACCAAAACAGCCAAATACCAACCGAACATTTTAAAATTTCAATGGTTATGTTTCCAAAATACACAGTGTATTTAATTACATTATTTCTAACTTACAAATATCTCTTTTAAACATGGCTGGCTAATAATTTTTCATACGAAAACCTGCCAAGATTATCACAATCTATTTTAGTCATTGAGTTAACAAGGAATCTATTTTCAGCTTTTTCAATCTGATTTCAGTATATTTGATCCTCAAGCTTTTGTTACATCCTCACAGAACTTTAGCACTCAAAAGTACCTGACTTATTCGTTAGAAACATCAATTAATCAAACAATAAGCATGATTTGACCAAGAAAAATAACTTTAACAAAATGAAGATTTTATTTAGTCTAATTTTAACGATGACCCGTAGTGTACTCGCTGACCTGACACGACCTGACCTGTCCTCCACGCATATTCATAATCTAGCCTCGTTTTGTTAATGGGTTTGCTTGCCTTGTGCATTTAGCGAGTAAGCCCTGCTTTTTATTATTAATTTTAGAACCCTTCCATAGTAGTATTATTAAGGGTAAAAACTTTTTAAATTTCTTTAAGGAGTGACCTGAACATTTTTTCAGTTTATCGATGTATAAACTGAACACTATTCCTTATAATTAAATCAACTCGAATACGTGTTTAAATTTTTTTATATCTAAAATAGCAACAAACTAAGGCACAAAATTGGCGCATAAATACCTAAAATTTTATCATGAACTGATACCAACAAGAGTGACGTCCAAGTGAAGAGCCAATCAAAAATAAGTAGGTCACATATTTATAGTCCACTGTTTAAAAGTTGATGGAGCGGCCACGTTTAAAGTTCAATTATTGAAGGACGAGTTTGAAATAAGTCCAAAAATCATGATTTTGTTGATATTTGGAGAGTGCACACTCGAGGGAATTTTGGAAAATACCGTTATCATTCAGTGAAGTGTAGATTTCGGCTCTGGTGACGTTCGAAGGAAAGACATCGACACTGTGTAGTGGCCACGTCAATCAAACTCAATGATAGAAATAGTCCGTTAAGGGGCGGAGCTTATATTTACATTCCGTTTACACAGATATAAACCGAATTCACGTGACCACTGTTATCCAATCAAATTGCGCGATACCGTGTAAACGGAATCGTGATTTAATTTCTATTCATATAGATACGCTTTTCTTTAGTACTTTATGTTGTAAAATTGTCTAGATATTTGTTTATATTTGTATTGTATGTAATTTTCATTCATTGTTCATTTACTTGTTTTATTGCATTGAAATGCTTTCGAGTGCGCACAAGGTAAGTTATTTTTCATTCGAGGAAAAAGTTATCAAACACGACAGATAATTTGCTTAACGCCTCGAATGAAAAAAACCTTACGTAAACAACCCTTCGAATGATTCAGAATACGAAGAAATTTTACTTCTTCTTTTGTTGTTGCGTCGTCGCCGACGAAGAATACTTGCAAGCTCTCGTAAGCTATGGATATTCCGGCCATTTGTTCACTAACTTGTCTTCGATAATTGCTTAGGATACAAACTCGCATTCATCGATGGGCGCAGCCATTTTTGTTTGATCACGTCCTAGCGCATGCGCCCCAGTTCAAAGTTCAAAGCTAAGAGCTTTCGAGTGCACACACGGTAAGGTATTTTTCATTCGAGGAAAAAATTATCAAACACGACAGATGATTTCCTTCACGCCTCGAATGAAAAAAACCTTACGTAAACTCCGCGCACACGAGAGCTACGAGCTCAGCTGAGAGGCACGAATGAAATTTTGCTCAGCTGGGAGCTCTCATGTGCGCTAGCCTTTAAGAAGCAGAATAGGGGGAAAAGCAGCGCCACAGTTGGGTCAAATTTCTCCACATATTTGTGTGAATAATTATTTGTTTATTCCAGAACCAAGATCTCCCAGTGGCAATTGCACTACTAATCAGTGCTATCACACTTTACTACAAAATATAAGATTTCCTTCAACATAACTGGGAGATTTTAAATTGAATGGACAGCTGAAAGTAATTATGCCATATACTACGAAGTGAAGCAAAACACAAAAAGTGCATGAGAAGATTAAACTAAGAAAAAGTATCTATTACAAAAATAGTCGAATCAATTGTGCCTTCTGGAGTGTTTACGAGATAAATTATTGAACACATTCTCAAGAACAGGGGAAATAACTCATACTAAATATTTTTCGATTTTTCTGATTTTCAATTGGGTTTATCCTTGGGTGATAACAAACACTCATGCCACGTTTCGTCAAAATGCGTCAAGAATTGTGCCTTCTAGAGTGATTACGAGCTAAATATTGAACGCGTTTTCAAGAACAAGGGCTATAACCTATACTAAATATTTTTAGATTCTTCTTATTTTCAATGGGGTTAATCCTTGGGTTATTACGAACATTCACACCAAGTTTCGTCAAAAATCGTCAAGAATTGTGCCTTCTAGAGTGTTTACGAGCAAAAAAATTGAACGCGTTTTCAAGAACAAGGGCAATAACTCATAATAAATATTTTTCGATTCTTCTGATTTTCAATTTGGTTAATCCTTGGGTGATTACGAACATTCACACCAAGTTTCGTCAAAAATCGTCAAGAATTGTGTCTTCTAGAGTGTTTACGAGCAAAAAAATTGAACGCGTTTTCAAGAACAAGGGCAGTTACTCATACTAAATATTTTTCGATTCTTCTGATTTTCAATAGGGTTCATCCTTGGGCGATTACGAACACTCACACCAAGTTTTGTCAAAATCCATCAAGAATTGTGTCTTGTAGAGTGTTACGAGAAATATTGGGCAGACCCCATTTTATGTGGGCGTATAAAAATTATATTCAATACCAAAACTTCTGGCATCGATAACTACGTCTAGTGAACCTTTTTTCCTAAGTCAAGGGCAATAACCCCAAAACCGTCCACCAAAAAATCAAATTCAAACTTGTCAAAGATCTCATCAATATAAATGATCAAACCAAATTTCATTAAAATCAGTTGGAAACTGTAGTCTCTATTGTATTCACAAACAAATTTTGACGCGTTTTTCCTAAGTCAAGGGCAATAACTCAAAAACCGTTCATCGAAAATTCGTAAAATTCGAACAAGACCAAAATCCCATGAATATAAATCATCACACCAAATTTCATTCAAATCGGATGAAAACTGTAGTCTCTATTGTGTTCACAAACAACTTTTGACGCGTTTTTCCTAAGTCAAGGGCAATAACTCCAAATCCGTTCATTGAAAATACGTCAAGTTAGAACTTGTCCGAGATCGTATCAATTCCAATGATCACACCAAGTTTCATCAAAATCGGTCGAAAACTGTAGCTTCTATTGTGTTCACAAACAAATTTTGAAGCGTTTTTACAAAGTCAAGGGCAATTACTCAAAAACTGTTCATCGAAAATGCGTCAAGTTAGAACTTGTCCGAGATCTTATTAATTCCAATGACCACACCAAGTTTCATCAGAATCGGCTGAAAATTGTAGCTTCAATCCTGCCCACGAACTATTTTTAACAAATTTCGACGTGTTTTAACAAAGTCAAGGGCAATATCTAAATACCGTTCATCGAAAAAACATCAAACTTGACCGAGATCTTATCAATCAAAAGCACCACACCAAGTTTCATCAAAATCAGATGAAAACTGTAGTCTCTATAGTGCTCACTTATCTCATAAATTTTTATCGAGATAATCCTTTGATATTTGTTATAAAATAGACTCTATTTTATAATAAGTCGTTTGGCCTGTGAGTTAGAAACTTTCGCTCCAGGTTATAACACAATTTCACGTCCTTTTATAAACTTTTTTACGTTTTTTGGACATACGGCCAATATTGCTGACAAAGTTCTACTCCAGCAATGGCGAGTTTACCATGTGCTTTCTACTACAGAGGAAGACAAACTTTTAGACATAAATCCTAATGATGTTGCTATGCACATAACTGTTAAATCTGAACCAGATCCCTTACCTACATCACAAAATACTATCTTGCCAGTAATGCTTACATTACAAGATACAATGAACTTGATTTCTCAAAATATTGAGAAGATGGGCACTGTCTTTACATCGTTGAATGCTGTACAAGGCCTTCCTAATAATCAGATACCTGTTACCAGGAAACGCAAACATGATGGGATTACTAAATCACTAGGTCTAGGCCTACATAAAAAGACTCGTAATATGAGTATGAGTTCATCTGATGAAATTGACAGCGATGGAAGTGAAATGAGTGTCAGTGACACTGAAGCTTTGATGCCTCCATGAAATGTTCTATCAAATAGTCAATCAAATGATGTTGATCTGTTAACTCAACTAGATTCAGAATTTAATGGAGACGAGCCAATAACAACCCCAATAATGGATAGGTTAGCTTCAATTGTAAACAAAAGGTTTATCAATAAATTGTCAGATGACAAATTGAAAGAAAAAACAGAAAAATATTTGAGACTCACAGTACCTCTGGTAAACCAAGAAATCTGGGGTAAACTTTCCAAAATGACCAAAACTCAGGACTTGAGAATGGCAGGTATTCAGAAATCCATTATAAAAGCTTCAGTTGCTATTGCAACTCTGTGGATGTCCTCCTAAAAAAGGATACTTCTTCAGAGGTTGTAACTCAACTTGTGGATGCTATTGCACTTTTAGGAAATGCCTCACAGGACTTGTCCTACAAAAGAAGGGATTTGATAAAGAATTTAGTTCTTTATGTTCAAAGAGTGTTCCTATTACAGGTACTCAATTGTTTGGCGAGGATCTTCCAAAATCTTTGTCTGCAATAAAAGAAACCAATAAACTTGGTAAGCAGGTCCGAAGTCGTAAGCCTGAACCACAGAGGTCATCTTACAGCAATAAATCCTATGACAGATATAGTAATAGTCATTTTTTAGACAAACCGAAATACAACAATTATCATCAAAAAGAAAAATACAAAAACCAGAAGTCATCATACCAGTACAAGAAAAAACAAACGAAAGAAAAGTAATGGAAACCAAGTCACCCTTAAAACTAGATGTTTTTAAGGTGAGTGATTTTGATAAATATTGTTTTAATCTTTTGGCTGAATTACATGCAGAAGTTCAAAATTTTCAAGCAGGTTGTCTTCATAAATATCTTGCGCTTTGGCAAAGTATGACATCTGATCAAGAGATTCTTGAAATGGTGAAAGGCACAAAAATAAAATTTCAATCACCATTACCTCAGAAACATACAGCACCACATAATGTATTTGGCGCTCATGAGATTCAAATCATTGACTCTGAAATTCTAAAGCTTCTTATCAAAGGTGTTCTTCAAGAATGTAATGCTGAAGATCATGATTTTCTTTCGCCAATTTTTCTTAGAGGAAAGCCAGACGGTACATATAGAATGATATTAAACTTGAAAAAATTGAATCTATGTATCGAATATAATCATTTTAAAATGGATACTATAGGCAATGTCATAAAATTGATAGAGAAAGATTGTTACATGAGTTCTGTTGACTTGAAAGATGCCTATTACAGTGTCAAAATAGATCCCTCGTGTCAAAAATACCTAAAATTTTCTGGAGAAATAAATATTACTGCTTTACATGTTTTCCAAATGGGCTATGCTTTTGTCCCAGAAAATTTACAAAGTTACTAAGACCTCCTTTGTCCTTCTTAAGATCTGTCGGACATGTGTCATCTGCCTATATAGATGATATATTTCTTATGGGTGAAAGTTATGACAAATGTTGTGCTAATGTAGTAGCAACTGTTGACATTTTTAGGAAATTAGGATTTGTGATACATCCAGTTAAATCCACCTTGAAACCATCCAAATCTATAATTTTTTTAGGTTTCTTATTAGATTCCTCTACAATGACTATACGTCTAACTGATGTAAAAAAGACAAAACTAAGCTTGTTTAGAATTACTTAATTATAACAATCTTGGGAAGCTTACTATTAGATTTTTAGCGAAAGTTATTGGTTTGATAGTATCAAGTTTTCCTGGTGTTATGTATGGCCCACTTTTCTATAGATCACTTGATAAAGATAAAAGTTCCAGTCTCCTGGTATCTAAGGGCAATTTTGACTCTCAGATGCAATTACACATCAGTGCAATACAGGATACTCAGTGGTGGGTGGACAATGTTATGAACACATACAATTTGCTTCAAAGAGAACCCCCAACAATTACTATGACAACAGATGCCTCACTATCTGGCTGGGGAGCCACACTAGAAGATAAATCTATTAGGGGTGAATGGAGTAAATTAGAAAGAACTTTTCACATAAACTATTTAGAAACCTTAGCTGTTTTCTTATCTCTTAAAAGTTTTAAGAAGTACCTTGTTTCCTCCCGTATTAAAGTTTTAGTTGACAATATTACTGCTGTAGCAACATTACAGCATATGGGCTCAAGTCACTCACAATTATGCAATGATATTTCAAAGAAATTTGGTTATGGTGCAAAGAGAATGATATCTGGTTAACCATAGCTCATATTCCTGGTATATCAAACATAGAAGCTGACAAACAGTCTAGGAAGTGTCGGACAAACACTGAGTGGATGCTTAATAATCAATCACTACAAAGGGCATTAGCAATCCTTGATGTGTTTCCAGATATTGACCTATTTGCATCTAGACTAAATTTTCAGTTCTCTTCTTACATATCTTATGAATGTGACCCTTCTTGTTGTGCTGTTAATGCATTTTCTGTATCGTGGTCAACATATAAATTCTATGCTTTTCCTCCTTTCAGCATAGTTCAAATGGTTCTACAAAAAATAATTCAAGAAAAAGCCACAGGAATATTAGTTGTACCAAATTGGAAGACACAATCATGGTACCCAAAGTTAACAAAATTGCTGATACAACCACCAGTTTTTTTTACAGTCGTCAAAGCATCTGCTAAGCTCTTCAACCAGTCTGCATCATCCGCTTCACAAAACTCTTTGTCTGCTGAATTGCCATGTCTCAGGAAACAAACAACTAACAGCATCCTTTCAACATCAGCTTCAAGCATCATCTTACAATCTTGGAGAAATAAAACTCAAGTTCAATACTCAACACATATAACTAAATGGAACAATTTTTGTCATAATTCAGGAATTAATCCGTTAATACCTAGTGTTGAAGATGGTGTAAATTTTCTTGCAACTTTAGTTGATGCAAAACTATCTTATAGTACTGTCAATAGTGCTCGAAGTGCTCTCTCAGCTATTCTACCACACATATCCAATGTTCCTTTTGGACAACACCCCCTTGTGAAAAGATTTCTAAGAGGTGCGTTTAACGTAAACCCTCCTAAACCAAGATACCATGAAGTATGGATGTGAACCTTGTGATGACTTTTTTGAGTTATTTCTCACTATTTACAATGTTAACTTTAAAAGAATTAACATTGAAACTGGTCACTTTATTGGCCTTATTTACTGCCCAAAGGACACAAACAATTCAATTCTTAGATATTAAGGACATGAAAGTCAGTGACTCGAAATACATATTTTGTGTATCAAGACTAATCAAACAATCTCGCCCTGGGTTTCATTTAAAACCATTGGAGTTTGCTAAGAATTCTAGCTTGTGTATGTATTCATTAATAACTGAATATATAAATAGAACTAAAAACTTAAGAGGTGACCATACTCAATTTTTAATTAGTTTTACCAAACCACATAAGCCAGTTTCAACAGACACTATTTGGCGATGGATTAGATCCATATTAAAACAAGCTGGTGTTGATACAGATATATATAGTACTCACAGCACCAGGTCTGCTGTTACTTCAAACCTTGCTCAAAATAATGTTCCACTTGATGTTATACTCCAATCTGCTGGTTGGAGTAATGTTTCCACATTTAACAGATTTTATTTCAGACCTGTTAGTGAACTAAGTGCCAAAGACACTACTTTACAAAGTTTTTTGTGTTAATCTTTATATTCATTTTTCACAACTTTAAAGATTTTTTCTTATTTGATTATCTTTATTATTTAACTGAATAATGGGTTCATTCAGATATTTTTATATTCAGGAAGAATATTAACTAATGTTTGTTACAATTTATTGTATTGTTATTCCTTGTTGAAGTTTACATTGTTGACATATTGTTAAAGATTTACAATAATAAATATATATTGACATATATACTCTGATTGCTATACTTGACCAACTACTGTGATATGCTTTGAAATCTCACATGGTTTCCGGAGTGACGTAGCAATAGTGTGAAGTAGAATTTAAAAATTAAACGAGCTTTCCTTCGGGAAGTGATTATATTGCAGGAACGGAGGAATTCATGGGCCCACCCAAAACGGGTACCCTCCCAAAATAATCCGTTCTGCAAATAGTTATATCCTAGTTGTTGATTATTTAAAGACCGACATCTACTGCGCATGCCTTATCTCACATGAATTCCTCCGTTCCTGCAATAGTTCGTAGAATTATAATTAAACATCACTTCCCGAAGGAAAGCTCGTTTAATTTTTAAATTATCATCCAAGCCAATTGTCTACAATAATAAAATGGATAAAATAATCCAAATAAACATTACTCTCATCAATAAAAAAAAAGGGTTACCGTGTTGACAAACCCAGTTTAAGTTATAGAGACCATCTCATAGAAAAGATTGAGTTATGGCTTTGCTGGTTAAGAATTTTTCTTACCTTCACACGCGACACGTGGAATATTTGAGTTACCGCGCCCGTAGTCCGTCATTACTGATAATCTGAACCCAGTATTACAGTCCTATACATGTTAAATACATTTCTTACATATCCACTATTCAAGGTAAGTAAATTTCGACATATGTAATCCTGTACATAAAAAAACTGTAATAAGACATAAACATTGTGTGTGAAGATGAATTATGGACAATAAGATGCTACTCATTAAAACAAACATTGGACAACCATAGAGCTTCTCTTCTTAAAAATATATTAAATATCAATTGGAAAATGTCGAGGTGAAGGTGAATTAGGGCTGAAAGTTCTGGGACCATTTTACGTTGAAATACAGTACACGAGGTATGGCGTACGGTACAGGATTATCGATACAATACGCATTAGAAGAAGCAAACATGCTAGGTATGGCGCACGGTGTGGGATTATCGATACAATACGCAATTAGAGAAGCGAATACACGAGGCATCGCATACATTATACATTATAAAGGGCTTTGGGTCAGTTTTTCCCAATTTTTCAGGAGAGATAAAAAACTGTTTTGACTGTGACCACTGAACGGATTCGAACCATATCTTAATATACTTTTTAGATAGCATTTCAAATAGTTTTACCAA